CCAAACAAATAATGTTAGGAATCATTAAAAAAGGGATAGAGAATAAGACAGAAAATATCTTATTGCCTCTAAATAAATCCATGGTATGCCCACATCTTGAATACTGCATATAGATGTGGTTGCCTCATCTCAAAAAGGATCTCTTGGCATTTGAAAAGGTTCTGAAAAAGGCAACAAAAATGATTAGCGGTTTGGAATAGGTGTCATATGAAGAGAGATTAAAAAGACAGGGACTTTTCAGCTTAGAAAAGAAGAGACTAAGGGGTATATCATAGAGGTGTATAAAATCATAACTTTCTCCATAGCTGTCAATGAGGAAAAATTATTTACTTATTTCCATAACATAAGAACTAGCGGTCACCAAATGAAATTAATTACTCCTTGAGGAATAAGGTTTACAGGAACATTGGAATAGTGAGTTCATTACATTTCGAAATAACAGGCATGCTCAAAAGATGCAAAATAGCTCGGGATACCTCTAGTATCACGAAATAGCACTGCAGTCTAGACATAGCCACAGAGAAGACTCAGCAACAGAGTACATACCAGTAAGGCTTTGATCACAGGTGTAGTTGCTCAGAAAATGTAAGTTTAATAACAGGAAATACTAAATATATAGAACTTCAATTACTTCAGTGGATTTCTTTTGATTAGAGCTGGTCAAAAAATGACGGGGAAATTGCATTTCCCTCCCCCCCCATTCATTTAACTGGAAATTTCCTGATCAGTCCTGGTCCTTATTTATACTGGACTCTCAACTCAGCTGTAAAGAAATGTATAGCTCTCCCTTATCTCAATGAGCTCTGAAGGGGGTGGTTTTAGAGCCTCAGATGTGACACAACAGAGCAACCTACTGCAGGACTATACAACTGTGGAAACTCCAGGGGCCACAATGATACAGCACATGCTAACGGCGGCAACTTAACTTATATGTGGTTGCATATACATGCAATATATACAAATAGCTTCTTTCACACTGACAGGCATGAAAACAAAAATGAAGGCAAGACTACACAACACACAGGCCCCATGTAAGTCAGTTCGGGTATGTCTACACTAGCTCGTTAGTTCGAGCTACATAGGCAAATGAGGGCAACCGGAGTTGCAAATGAAGCTTGGGATTTAAATATCCCGGGCTTCATTTTCATGTTCCCGGGTGCTGCCATTTTTAAATCCCCCTTAGTCCGAACTCCGTGCCACGTGTATCCGCGGGCTCAGAGTTCGGACTAAGGGGGATTTAAAAATGGTGGCACCCGGGAACATGCAAATGAAGCCCGGGATATTTAAATCCCGGGCTTCATTTGCAACTCCGGTTGCCCTCATTTGCCTACCTAGCTCAAACTAACGAGCTAGTGTAGACATACCCTTCTTCTGATATTAATAAAATGCAATATTTACCCCATTTCTGCCCATATGTCAGCACTGTTAATGAGCAATGACAGTCCAGGACTTTAACTACTAAAATGCATATCAACAGAAGAGCGTTATATTAACTACTTTTTTGTTTTAGCTCCCACTCGCGGGCCGCAAACCAATGGGCTGCGGGCTGCATGTGGCCCTTGGGCCGTGTGTTGAGTAGCCTTGATCTACTGTATTGGCCTCAAAAGTTACTTTGAGAATTTTCAGAGGAACCTGGAATTTGTAACTCACAATATTATCAAATCCTAATCCATCAAGAAAAAGTTAAATTCCCAGTGAAAGCAAGGAACACGTGAGTCTCCTCTTCTGAGTCAGAAGTGATTTTTTTTCCTGAACAACTCCATGGCTGCCCGGTGAGACACAATGCAAACTATTATGGCTATTTCCTTAGGAGTATGGGTATTATAAAACAGGGGTGGATTAAAGTACGATCCTTGAAATTTGGAAGCTGTGTTCTACTTTTAACAAGGAGCCAGAGAGAACAGAGGAGGAGGAGAGGCAGGGATCTTATTCTGCTAGCTAGAGCTGTGCTTCACCACTCTGGTGGAAGATCACAGATGCTGGTGTAGAGAAGAGCAGAACTTGTCGTAAGTAGAGGCCCTAAGAGGAGTCACGGGACCCAGATCCACAATTTAGCCTTCATCAACCTCTTCTATAGCTGTTCTTTATCCAGCCAGCTATTATTTCAGGTAACCATCTGTATCACTGCACACATATATATCAGCCCCAGGGCACAGTTTAGAAATCTTTGATTCTGCTAGTTCAGATACAAAACAGTAATAAAGCCCAATGACCATGTCAAGATTAACTCCCTGGGCTAGAAAGGCTGAGAGGGGGGACACAGGAGATTTCAGTTTTGCAAACAAGAAACAGTTTTGTTTCGGCTCTGTGTCACTACAAATGCATCACACATGCACATCGGAGTGAATCCAAGCATAGCAACTACACACAGGCCAGAAGCGTCTAGTGTGTGTGCCCCCAAATGACAGAGGGAGTGGCTGGAAGGCTGGGTGAGGGGAGAACAGTTGGCACCTGTGGCTGCTCAAGGCATTTTCAAAGCAGCCTGTGGGCAAATCCCACCGAGTGCCTTTATTTTCCGGGAAGTCCCTGAGGGCAGGGCTGGGGCATGGTTTGGTACTCAGCATCTTAGTGTCATTTTCCAAAGCACATATAAAGCCTTTCTTACAGGCATGGCCAGGGGGCTCTGAGATAGTGGTACAGGTTTGACCTCTCCGGTCCAGCATCCTTGGGACCTGACCGGTCCTGAACGAGAGAATTTGCCGGACCAGAGAGGTCCTCTGCGGCTGGCTCCCCAGACCACCTTCCTACCCTGCTGCCAGCCCCAGCCACCCCCACCCTCAGCCGGGCTACTACAGCCACAGCAGCCTGGACTGCCCCAGCCCCACTACTGGGGCTGCCACATCCCTGCCCAGGCCCCGCTACTGTGGCTGCCGCATCTCCAGCCCCAGCCCCTTTGTCAGGGCTGCCACAGTTACCACATCCCCAGCCTTGCCCCTGGAGCTGCCCTCGCCCCTGTTGCGCTACTGGGGCTCCAGCGCCAGTCTTGGCTCCAACACTGCTGGGCTCTGAGCCTCCAGTCCTCTTGCCACTGGGGCTCCCAGCCAGGACTCCCTGATCGAGGAACACCCATGGCTGTGCCAGACCACTGATGTTACCGGATGAGGGAGTCCCAGTTTTGGGAGGTCCAACCTTCACTTCAATCTCAGTCAGGAGGTGAAAGCTGACCCTGCTTTAGGAGTCACCCAGCATCTTCAAGACAGACCCAAGAAAACCAACAATAGAACACCACTTGTCATCACCTACAACCCCCAACTTAAACCTGTCCAACACATTATCAATAAACTACAGCCTATATTGGAACAGGATACCATACTCAAAGAGGCTCTGGGAGACAGACCCATAGTCTCCTATAGACAACCACCTAACCTCAAGATGATTCTTACCAACCACCACAGGACATACCACACTAATACCAACCCTGGTACCTTCCCTTGCAACAAACCCCGTTGCCAGCTTTGTCCACATATTCATTCTGCTGATACCATTATTGGACCTAACCAAGTGAGTTATAAGATCAAGAACACATATTCCTGCGCATCCAGAAATATAATCTACGCTATCATGTGCCGAAAGTGTCCGTCTGCTATGTACATTGGACAAACATCTCAGACACTTCGCCAAAGGATTAATGCCCACAAAACAGATATCAGACAAGATCACAAAGAGAAAACAGTTTCTTGCCACTTTAACCAGAAAGGACACTCTCTAAATGACTTAGCCACCTGCATTCTGCTACAAAGACCTTTTACATCTGCACTTGAAAGGGAATCCTCTGAACTGTCATTCATGTTAAAATTCGACACTTGCCAACAAGGACTTAACAAGTCTTTGAACTTTCTCACCCATTACCAAGACAGTTTCCCCAATTATCACCTGTAATACCATTAACTCACAAACATCCCACTCTCCCTACCTTTAATATCAGCAATTCACAGACACTTACCTTCCTTCCTCCCCCTTCCCACTCCCCCGCATCCCCCTTCTGTTCTGCAATGTGATTTGTCCTTTTCATATTTGTTCATTTTTTTTAATTGTATCCTTTGGTATATATGGTTGTGACTACTTTCTTCCACTATTTGATCTGAGGAAGTGGGTCTGGCCCACGAAAGCTCATCATCTAATAAACCATCTTGTTAGTCTTTAAAGTGCTACATTGTCCTGCATTTTGCTTCAACTACCCCAGACTAACACGGCTACATTTCTATCACTATTCTTCCTGTGTAGGACATGCTAGGCTGCACGCAGGTGGTCTCTGCTCAGCCCCTCCCCACCATTCTCCCACACCCACTTCAAGTAATGACACACGGGTAACATAGGAACAACTGTACTAAAAATACCAATTAAAACATTGGAAATGGGCCCTTGTGGCTCTATCTGTAAGACGAGTATTTTAAACATGGCTAATTTCCCCACTTCAGAGAAAAACAAGTGCACATTCTTATAGGGGTCTGTAACTTGGTCAGCACTCACCTCACACGCGCGCCCCCATTTAACCAAGTGCAGGTTCCTGCATAGCCTCAGTTTTAAAAGCCTTGCAGCTACTCAGCTCGAGTCATACTCTGTGCAATCACAAACACCTTCCGAGGTACACCTCTAACACAGGCCCATCCCAGTGCCCTCCGTAGAGTGTCTCTCAGTTTGATGCCATTCCCTCAGTTTATTGCCTCACTCTGAATGAGAGTGGCGCCTCCAGGGCTTCCCTTCCTGGAGACAACTCCTTTGCCCTTAGCTACCTTCAAATCCAACAGTCTCTCAACAACTCTCCACTCTGAGCTGTCCACTGTGCTACTACCCCCTCAGCCAGCCCCAGACATTCTCCCTTCCAGGTCTGGGCTGCATCTAAGCTGCTGCTAGTCCTGCAGCTTCTTATATAGTCCCTCCTGACCCCTGATTGGCTGATTTCCTCCTAGCCAACCTAGCTGCCTGCAGGACTTCTCAATGGCCCTTTTGGCCTTAGGGCCTAGCCCCATTATGGGTTCCCAAACAGGCAAAACACATACCTCAGTCTGGGGTGCCTGGGCTTTGCAGGGCCCATTGGAGAAGCTCTAGCATCCTGTAACAGATAAAACAGAGCAGGGGAATTAATAAGCAAATATGATTCTGATCTGCCAGTTCCCTGTTAAATCAGCCCCCAGAAGAACTCATACCATCCTGTACTCCTCCAATAACCTCTGGTCACTCCTTCCTTGAAAATCTGAGGTGGTTCATACTTGTGTCTCAGAATCTGAAAGATCTTCTTTGAAAAGCTTCCTGTTCTCCTCTCACACCTGGTGGCCCAGGAACACCAGTTTTGGACAAGTTATTCTTAAAAAAAAAGAAACACCATCTTTCTTCTAAAAACTTAACTCGAATTTGCATGAGCGAGCTCTGGAAGTTTTGCAGGCATTCACAGGGATATAAACAGCACCGTATTCATTTCAGGTGGATCAGATGAGAGCTGATATATGTTGACAGGAAAAATGAAAAAATGTAACCACGTTTATCTGCACCTACTGTTTAGCTTGTGGCCATAGTCACATTAAATAAAGCTCTTGTGTCACATCTGAACAGACAGGTAAACAAATTTAGCCTAAAATAAGAATATCAAGGATTTATAGTTTTTCCTTGTGACAGACTGTGCGTGGGTGTGAGTGTGGAGAGAGAGAGAGACTGTGTTGCAATATCTTTAACACTAAAATGCTGCCAGCAGACATTGGTAAATTAAATAATAATTCATTAGCTACCATAATGATGCAGATGCAATCAGACTTGAAGAAAAACCAACAAAAGACAAAACACAAAGTACTGGCAAGAGTTAAAGGGCCTGCATTAGCTTTTTAAAAACATTTTTATTTATTAAAATATTCTGGCTACAGATCTTGTTCAATATTCATTAGTGTTTCATTTGCCTTTGATTGGAAACAGCAAATACTTTGATACTGACTGAAAGAGCCAAATCTTCCACTGGGGTAAATCAGTGTAGCTTCACTGAGTTCAGGAGAGCTAAGCCAGTTTACAGAAGCTGAGGATCTGCAGCAAAGAGCTTTTAATTCCCTGTAGCTTGTGGAAGTTGTGAGCACTAGCACATCCTTTTGCTGAAATGCTGGTTTGTAATGGCAGCGCTCCCCAATAAACAAACAGATGGACGTTGAGATTTTCAAAGCCTTCCGGGGGAATTTAGCCGTACAATTCCCATCGAAATGGCTGGGAGTTACAGAGCTAACTGCTCTCTAATAAGCTTTGAGAATCTCCTCCACAGTTCTGCTGCCTCTAATAAGAAAAGCACAGTGGGGTTCAAATTTCTATATTTGTATGCAGTTCTAACCTCTGGGAAGCCAGTTGTTGTCACGCTATGTTTACACAGAGAAAAGTGCACTGATTAGTTCAGGTGCAGGGTTCCACCTGCCTCCTTTTCAAGGCCTTGAACCCAGCTGTGCCGCTTCGCCTCTGCACTGCACTGCACAGCACAACAGCAATGAGGTACGGAAGCAGCAGGGTTGTCTGACGTAGGTAAAACAAATAATGGAGAAAGGATGCTGACCTCCCTCTGCTCACTTCTCAAACCTTGCCCCCCAATCCAATACGGTCAAGTATCTGACAACACTAAGTGACTGGCCTGTGAAAAGATCCATTAAAACCTCTTCTTCGTTTATTTCTGTACAGCTGTTTATTAGAGAGAGAAATAGCTAATCAATACAATCTTGCGTCACTGACATGCTTTCTGTCCTCAATCGTCCTCCCCCCTTCCCTTCCCACACAGGCTGGGGTCTTGTCCTTTTTTAGACTGTACATTCTTTTAAGACTCTGCGTTATTTTATACGACAAGATTTACCTTGCCTTGCTTGGGTACTTAACTCAATTAATTTTTCTTTTTTGGAAAATGAAATGAAAATGCACATGCTTCATTTAAGTCATTACTCTGGAGTGGGGCTGCGGCTGAGGGGCTCAGTATGTAGGCTGCCCTGGGGAGAGAGGATGACCCCAGCTCTCTCTCAATGCAGAAGTTTGGGGCCAGATGAGAAACACCTCTCCATGGCCACTGCAGCTCCTGTGGGCACAGTTAGGGGAGGGGTGCATGTCCCCTGGTTGGGGCAGGTCCATGTTTGTCTGCCTCCCATGCTCCCCAGCCAGAGTGAGGAATGCAGCAAACTGTGCACTTTCCCCTTGCTCCCTGACAAAGAGGAACAGTCAAAAATGGCCCCATACAAATTGGGCTGAAGCCCCCTCACCCTCCCTAAAGGGTGCCGAGGGTGTAGGAGGCTTGTGGCTGAGGCAGACATAGATGGGGGGGGGCATGCCCCCAGCCAACCCCTTTCACCTGCCTGGTGTTTCTGTTTCTTTTCTGTATGGTTTTCTGAGAAGCAATCCCATTCCTGGCACATCCCATTTTCCTGGCACAACCAAACCCTTACATCTTGCTTTAATTTGTATACCGAATTTGGTGGTCCTTGCTCTTACTGTTAAGGAGGAGTTCTTAATCAGACAAACAGACATACAAACAAATTCTCAAATATATAGTAGACAAGGTTGCATGGCACCCAAAAGACTGGTGTCTCGCTTCAATACACATATTAATAATACCTGGAGAACATAAAGAGGAATGGGCAGATGGAAACAAATAGTGAAAAGAGAGAAAGACAAGGGTCCAAATTCATTCCTCCATCAGCGCTGAGCCTAGAGCAAGGACTGGGGGACTGGATCTTCTCCAAAAGTGGAATTGGTGGGGGTTCATTCTTCCCCAAAACTAGCACTACTGAGGGCTTGTTTAACTTCTGGTGCAGGCAGATGTGTTCTGAAGGCTGCCCTAACATATATCCCAGCCACAAGCAGATATTAAGTTCATTTCACATTTTATTATTACTAAGTTCTTTAGACTCACTTATCTGAAACCAAATCTCATCCACAAAGTGCATCTATTAATCACTGGGCCTAACAAGTTGTCCAGAGCAAGTGTAAATCTGTGTCAGGAGCCATGCAGAAGGCTGGGAGAAAAGTCTGTTTTTAATTCAGTATACTTGATAAGGTCCCTTTGGAATGTGTGACATACTGTGTGTCTCTCTTCTCTGCAACTCGGTGTGTCCGATGGCCTCAAGGGTCAAGATGAAAAAAGATGGCAGTATTCTTCCCAATATCTGCCTGTACTCCATCCTCATTGCTGGATGATGTTTTTGCTAAAATGCCCAACAATTAATAGTACTGACATGGTGTCTGTTGTCACTGAACTTCAGAGTTAACATGCAAATTACGACTGGAAGTAGTTGACACCAGTCAGAGAAATTTTGTAAGAACATTTTTAGACACAGTAAAGCCGTCCATTTGCATTTGGAAAATTCCCCCCAACCACAGGGACTAGAAAGTTAGGGTGAGCACCTCATCCCAGCTCTAGTCCCTTTCCAGTGGGTAAAAGTGTTGGAGAAGCATGAAGGAGCCCAAAAACCAAGTAGCCAGCATGGATATAAATAGCAGGCCAGCCATGGTAGCATGGACAGTGGTAGTGGATGCATAGCTAAGCCATGTCAAGTACTTACACACTGAGCTAGTGCAATTTTGTGTAGATGAGGAGAGTAAATTATAGCTCTAGCTTGCAGTGTAGACCACAGCATCCCCTGGGCAGTCTGTATTATGAGGGGGCATCTCCAGGGTCAGGAAGGCACCTCCTCCTTCATGGTTCTTATCGCTACAGCCCAGAATCTCCCCCTTAATCTTTCCTTATAGAAAAAGATTGTACATTTTTCACAAAATGATAGAGCTACTAATAAAGGGCTGGTATGTCACAATGCTACATGCCAGCTCAGCCTGGCTAATAATTAGTGACGGGGCAGTATCTAAACTCTAATGACTGACTGCTCATTTGGGATCCAGAAGAATAAAAACTGCTGAAATACTCATTTGAAACACCGCAGCCTGCAGCAGCAGGCTGGAAATCACAACAGAACAGCTTCTTGCACTGAAGTTTGGAGCCGCAGTTCCCAGCTCAGGTAGATATACAAGCGTGAGCGCTGCTCGAGCGAGCACATTCAGAATAGCAGTTTAGCTGTAGTGGCACAGGCAATGGCTTGGACTAGCTGCCTGAGTACAATCCCCTCTGAAACTGTCGGTGCTTACTTGGGCATCCACTCGAGCTGGGAATTACACCTGCAAGCTGCAATGCAGATGTGTCCGCAGCTTCTCCCCAGCCAGAACCAGGAAGTGTGGCGGGAACCTAAGGATTTAAATAGAATGATAGAATCCTAGGGCTGGAAGAGACCTCAGGAGTTCATCAAGTCCAACCCACTGCTAAAAGCAGGACCAATCGCAACTAAATCATCCCAGGCAGGGCTTTGTCAAGCCGAGACATAAAAACCTCTAGGGATGGAGATTCCATCACCTCCCTAGGTAACCCATTCTAGTGCTTCACCACCCGCCTAGTGAAATAGTTTTTCCTAATATCCAACCAAGACCTCCCCCACTGTAACTTGAGACCATTGCTCCTTGTTCTACCATCAGTCACTACTGAGAACAGCCTCTCTCCATCCTCCCTGGAACCTCCCTTCAGGAAGTTGAAGGCTGCTATCAAATCCCCTCTCACAGCTGCAGCTATTTAAGTTATTAAAAGGTGGAGCAAATGGGTTCGTCTTTCAAAAATTTAATTTTTAGCCAAAAAAAATCAGGACTGTTTTGCTAACCTGTGGCCCCATTATTCTGTCTGTCAAATGCATGCATGCAAGTCCCATTGGCCCCGATACTGAGTGCAGTCTAGAAGCCCTAAGAGATACCGACTTCAGTGGGAGACACTCACGTGCAACTGAGGAGATTATCGGATTTTATACAGCTTGGTTTTGCTATGGAGAGCAAGCAGCATCACTGCGCTATGGATAAAAATGTTGTTCCTCTTTCTAAGATTACTAGCTAATGACATATGAGCTCAATAAAGTATTAAATCCCTGAACATAAAGTAGTGTTTTCCATTTAAAGGGCCAATATCTCCAATCTAATATGAAATCCATTTATACATATTAAGTATTGTAGTCATTTGATACAAACTTTTCTGATCAAAACCTCATTAAAAGTGACTGTTTTGTTTGGAGCTGGAACAGGATTGCTTTGAAGCCTTTTAGTACTTTGGTGAAAAAATAAAATTCTATGAAAAAAAATCCTATGTTTACACAGTACTTCAGTGTGTTACATTTAAACTAACTTTAATGACCCTATATGTTGCCAGAGTGCTGTAAGAGGGCCTGTATGTAAATGAGAACCTAGGTCAGTGTGTTTTTCCGTCTCTACTTGTGTTGTGTATTTTCATGGCTGACAGGGAAATCCACTAACCATGACACATGGAATGTCA